AAATGTGTCACGTTTCTAATGTAAATATTTATGTACCACCCCGATGTTACACATGACTTCGGAGTAATTTGTTACAACTGCTCAAAAATCCGCTATACCGAGATTAGTATTGATAGTAAATCGTTATTATTATAGATCTCGATCCGTTTAATGTGTTTTATTCAGAAATTCGCTAAATCGAGGTCTGTTGAATTGTGTATACTTTTTTATTTATAATTGCCCGCGTTCATATTGATCACGTTCTGCAATAATTTCAAAAAACAATTTAAATTTTTACCAAAATTATCCACCCAAGGAGAATATAATTACCAGCACAAAACCTTGATAATTATTACGTTGAATTATTTCGATAAAAAGAAAAAGTGTTGTTGGTCAACCTTGCATTGGAATTTTAATATAATGCGTTGGATTTTAATAATGATACTTGCATGCTTCAATCGAATATGTATTTTAACTCCAATTAATCTTTTATTTTATTTTAATGTTTTTGAATCATAGAATTGATAGGATTGGCCGAAGAGGGTAGAGTAGTTATTGCTAAAAGATATGGTGATGATAAAGATGTTTAAAAGGCCTTATTATTTTAAAATAAAGTTGAGGCTTTGTATATATCAATTATTATATACCATAAATAGATCATTTATGGGACAAGCGTTGAAATGTTACACTAATATTTTATATTGTGCAACGTAGCTTTACAATACACGGCAAACATTATGGCAATAATAATAAAAGTAAGTGATAAACTGGATTTGAATTGGATCTGAACTTGACCTCCAATTTAGAGAGGTAACAACTATATACTGGTGGGTTTTCAGTTCTGTATATCTTTTCGTGTAACAACAACTTCCACTATGCTTGTGGGACATTCATAAAAAAAAAAAATTCTAAATTGAAAATAATAAATTTTTACATTTCTATAAATCTATTACTATTATTAACATTACTATTATTATTAGCTGGTTGGTTAGTTGTCGGTCATGAATTCGTTATTTAGTGGATCTGATGCCAATAAAATTATTGTTGGTACTAAATCCACAAAATTCTATGCAATTGATCCTACAACCAAAAAGTTGATAAAAACATTTGATAATAATGAAAGAGATAATGAAAACGAATGTCCTTTTTTACCTAAAGATGCTTTATACATTTGCATGAATGGTAAATATTCATATTATATTATTATTAGATAATTTCTATAAAATGTAAAAAAAAAAATTACCATGTATATATATATATATAATGATAATGATAATTAATAAATTTAGCATATAAAATACGAATTTTTGAAAATGGAATAACGAAACGAAATGTAACTTATACCGAATACATTCCACATAGCTATGACACAAGTATTGAATTAATACATAAAACGAAACCACATAATAATGATTTATACATTGCAGCTCCAAATGGTGATATATTATCAACTAATTCTTATTCTAGTAAGAAAGATCTTCTTTTTGTATTTATATATAACAATGATAATTATTACCGTTTTTAATATTTCATATCTAATAAATATGATTTAAAATAAAAAGCTCGAAACGAATGGCATCAAGTACTTCGATCTCCTGTTGTTGGACTTTTTGATTCTTTTTCTTCCTCGCCTGAATACATATCACCAGCACAACCATCATCGTTACCACCACCACCACCACCATCATTATCATTACCAACATCATTATCAAATGAACTTTTAAAGTTAAAAGTGGATAATAATGATGACGAAACTTGTCAACTTGGTTCACCATTATATCCAAGCTGTCTAATCGGAAATAATAATGATTATGATGATGATAATTATTTGATAAACAATGAAGAGCATATTTTTAGATTAGGTATCGAAGGTCCATCACCCCTCTCTTCGCCATCGTCTTCATCACCTTCATTAGAAAATAATTATTCCTCTTCTGCTTCTCCTTCGATAGATAAAGCTGATTCCATTATTAGTTTAACACGTATTGGATTCTCGTTATTCAGTATTATTTTATTGATTTTTATTGGTATTATTTATTGGAACAAGTATAATAATAAAAATGGCAGACATTTTTTTAACAAATTATCGTTGACTCCATTACTTGGAACAATTGCACAAAAGTATAATGATTTTAATGAAACCTTTTTTAGTGACGATAGTAGTGGCAATGGTATTAACCAAGTAAAATCCAATAAAAAAGAAGTTGGTAATAAAAAGAAAAAGAAAGGTAACAAAAACCATAATCATAATAATATTAATGCAAATAATAAGAAAGTCGAGCTTAAAAATGATGATTTGAAAATAAATGGCACTACAACTTCTAATAAAGAAACAACAATAACAAATAACAATAATAGTCAAAATTTAGATGTTAACCTTCCTACTTCAACTATTGAAAACAATGCATCATCTAACATTTCCACTGCTGTAGTTAATGGCGAGTTTAAATTAAATTCTTTAGTAATTACAGATACCGTTTTAGGTGACTTATATATTTATTTTTGAAAAAATTTATTTTATTATTACATGATCATTATTAAACTATATAAATAAATATATATATATACACATATATACATACTAGGTTATGGAAGTCATGGTACCATTGTATATAAAGGAAGCTTTGAAGGAAAAGAAGTAGCTGTAAAACGGTTACTGCTTGATTTTTATGATATAGCACATCACGAAGTATCATTGCTTCAAGAAAGTGACGATCACCCAAATGTTATAAGATACTATTGCAAACAACAATGTGACCGTTTCTTATATATTGCACTGGAACTTTGTCCTGCTTCTTTACATGATTTTATAGAAAGAGGTTCGATGTTTGAACATGCGCATCTGATAGAGTCATTACACCCATCAAAAATCCTTTATCAAATTATTTCTGGTCTACATCATCTCCACTCTATCAAACTGGTACATCGAGACATCAAACCACAAAATATTCTAATAGCTGCTTCAAAACACAAGAAAACAATCAAAAAGAAAGGTGTGATTGTTTATGAAAAATCGAAAATCAGAGTGCTGATTTCTGATTTTGGATTATGCAAAAAGTTAGAAGGGGATTCAAGTAGTTTTCACAATACTGCAAACAACATCGGAGGTACGATTGGCTGGAGAGCGCCAGAGTTGTTATCACACACATCATTATCATCATCACCAGACAACAATACTACAGCAGCAGATGCATGGACATCCGTGGACCAATCAAATTGTTCTTTTACATCGTCAGGATCATTGAATAGTGAAGAAGATTGTCCACGCAGAATCACAAAAGCAATAGATATTTTCTCCGCAGGTTGCTTATTTTATTATGTGTTGTCCAGAGGATGTCATCCATTTGGAGACCGGTATTCCAGAGAAATAAATATATTGAAAGGAGTATACGATTTAAATAAATTGGATGATATAGAAAAGGAAGGCATCGAGGCTAGAGATTTGATTGAAAGGATGATCGAGCGTGATCCTGAAAAAAGGTAACTTTTTTATTTGTTATTATTAATTATTATTATGGATTATTAAAAAATCAATAATATGTGTATAGGCCAAATGCGGAAACAGTGATGACGCATCCATATTTTTGGTCGTCGTCTAAACGACTTGGATTTTTACAAGATGCGTCTGATAGATTTGAGATAGAGGAAAGAGATCCACCATCACCGTTACTTAATCGTCTTGAGCAAGATTCCAGTAAAATAATAGGTACTGATTGGTACAAACGTATAGATAAAATTTTAGTGGAGAATCTTGGTAAATATAGAAAATATGATGGAGCCAAAATAAGGGACTTATTACGAGCTTTAAGAAACAAGGTTTGTATATTCATTTATATATTTATTTTAATTAAATAAATAAAATAAATAAATGAAATAAATAATCTCAATTCTAATTTCTTTAGAAAAATCATTATCAAGATCTTCCAGATCATGTAAAAAGATCGCTTGGAGAGATCCCAAATGGATTCCTTTTTTATTTTGTTTCAAGATTCCCAGAACTTATGCTACATGTTTATTACGTGATAGCAGAGTCGGAATCTTTAAAGAATGAAAATATATTCAGTCATTATTTTGAAATACCGGGAGAAATATAAAAGAACAATTTTTCTAAAAAATTCTAATTTAAAAAAAGAAATTTATAGACTTGTTATATATCATATTGCTGTTTAAGGCTTCTTGATTTAGTTAGTTTTAAATCAATATTATATTTATTTATTGTTATTATTATTTGTTATTTATTGTTTGTAAATATTAATTTTCGTTGTTAAATTAATTAATTCTTTTTTTTTTTTTTGTAAATAGAAATTTTTTTTTAATAAAAATTTATTTCATATTAATTAAAATATACAACAATTATTATTATTATTAGTATTAATAGAAGAAAAAAAAATTTAAATATTAAGGTTTAAAGAAAATAATTGTCTGTCGTATTTGTTTGCCTTTCACTTACAATTTAAATAGAATTCCTTCTGACATTATTTGATCTGCTATTAACATTATTATTGTTACTATTCTTTCTTTTACTTAATTTGTTTTTTAATCCACCAAACAAATTTCTTTTTGTCTTTTGATTAACATTACCATTTGTATTATTAATGTTCCTTTCGTTTAATTGTTGATTTTGATTTAATTGATACAATCGTTGTTTTTCATATGTCATGATATAATCTGTTAATGAGGAGATTGTGTTATAAGTTCCCAATGGAAAATCATAAAAATTTGAAATTAGGGAGGTTTTTATTGGAACTTTATGATATCTATGTTTTACGCTTGCAGGTTTTGTTATAACAATATCATTATTAGTTGTATTATTACTATTTGTATTCTTGTTGTTCTTGTTGTTATTATTGTCATTATTATCAGTTGGCATTAGAACTGTTGAAGTAGTAGTTGTTATTGGATTAGTAGTTATTGATTGCCTTCGTGATTTAAATGAGTATTCATTATAAATATTATTATTATTATTATTAACATTATTATTGATACTATTGATACTAATACTATTACTATTATTATTATTACTATTATTATTGCTTTCTTCTATATTTTTATCTTTTATACTGGGAAAATAATTAGATTGTTGTATTTCTTCTTCTATTGATAAAATAGAAAGAGGTGAAGAAGATAAACGAAATAATGGTGAAGACATTGTAGTCATATTTGTTGTAGCCTGTTGCGATAAATCTATTGAAATAAAAGATTTATTATTACTATAATTGTTGTTGTAGTAGTTGTTAGCATCGACATCATTATAATCATCAACATCATTGTTAATGTTTTCATTACTATTATTATTATAATATAGATTGTTATTCTTCATGATTTATCCAATTTTATTTAAAAAAATTTTTTTATAAAGATTTATTATTTATTATTCACTTCTTTTTATATTTTTTTGGAAATTTGCATTTTGTTAATTTAATTTATTTACTTTTTTACTACATACTAATATAATTATGTAATGTGTAATAATAAACAGTTCATCTCCGTTTATTTATAGTATAAGTGTTATACGTTTATAGGTAATGGTAGTAATTGTACATTTGAAGTATATAAAAAAAATACAGGTTTGTAAAAAATTATTAAATAAATATTTTTAGAACCCGATGATCATAATCATAATTGTATTAATTCAAAACACTAATATATACCAACAATGATTTTTTTTGCGATTTTTGGTAAAGCACCCTTATTATGCTATCTAAAAAGAAAAATATGTAAATATAATATTCCCAATCTCGTCATTGTAGTGCAAATGGGAATATTCCTTGTGTTTCTTTTAGTCAAGTTCCGTGCTAAAGATTTTCTAAAGATGAGATAAAATTGAAGATAAAATTGAACATTTATCTATCTCGTAAGCATTTTTTAATACGATTTTACATTTCGCGTTTTGCATGAGTTAACTATAAATCATTGATTTAAGAGTACATATACATATACGTATACAATATAAATATGTGTTAATTAATTAATTAATCAATTAATCAATTGCTTTCATTCAAATTTTAATTTTATGGATCACAAATCTCACATCTTCATATAAATGCCCATGTTCTATTGTAGACGTGATTTTTTAATTCATGTTCCAACGAGTAAAGGAAAAGGACAAAATTCTCAATTAATACTTTCAGATAATTTTCTTTATTCATACCATTAAACTAGGTACAAATTAATATAAATTTCAATGGCCTAACAAATGAAAAAAATTTTATTGAATTTTCTTTTCGACAAATATATTTGTTTTTCTGATGATGTTAACATAATATGGGCATACTGTAACAAGATATTTTGTCACTAAATGTTACAATCACACTTGGTAATAGTAATAGTATAGTGATTTGTGATCTTAATATTAAATTAGATGATTTTAATTTTCAGTGACTATATTAGAAAAACAATCAAAGAAAAATCAAACTTGAAAACCGGTATTTTTTTTCCACTAAGAATTATATAATGGAAAATATTGTAGTCTTTCAGAAAATTTTGGCTTTAGAGATGTTGATATTCTCAATCTCATTTTTAGATTTAGTCACGAACCAAAAAAAAACCAAAAATGCAAGCTTTTATGTCTCACTATTGCAATATTGATTTTTAATTCTTTTAATGTAGTAATTATAAAACCTAAAAAAAGTTATATCTGCTATTCATAATCATATTTATCATCATAATTTCCTTTATTATTTGAAATATTGTTTTTATATTCATCAACAGCTTTGTCAAATCTTCATTTTTAAGTCAGAGACAGTAGTTTTAACATGATTACATTTGTAATCAGGAATAAGGTTGTGGGCAAAACTCCACCAGAAATCAATCAACAGAGTTTTGACAGGTTACACATTAATTGTTTTGTCAATCGCCAGAGTTTTGACACGGTTTATACTAATTGTTCATTGGAGTTTTGACAGTCATTAAGTGGTTTTGGCAAGCAACCTTAATCAAGAAGAATGTAAATTTTATTTTTATCAGTAATACTGTAGCTGCTTTTTTTTTATTATTGTTGGATTATCACCAATAAGATATTGAAAGCCAGGATATTTTCTTTAACTTCATCTAAAGGACAGTCAGAATGAATTTCATTTATATAGAGGAAAATACGTATGGCTTTTTTTATTTTTACCTATGATTTTCCTATGATCTACCTTTTAAAAAGACTATTTTTTACCCATTTTTTTCCATATGACCTCAATTATGATTACTTGTGGTGCTGTTATAGCAATAAAATTATCAATTTAGGTAATAAACAGCTTAGTCAGCTTAGGATTTTTAAATGGCTAACATCACTAGTCAAAGACATAATTCTATGTTTACACAAAAGACATAATTTTATGATTCTATGTCATTGACATTACTAATTAATTGAATTGTATATAAGAAGCTTGAATTTGATGTTAATAATAAGTTAATAAATTAGTTTCAACTAAATAAACAAACATTTTGTTAAATCAATAAACCAAAATTATCTATTCATCGATAAAAACTAATTCATTAATATTCTGAGACACAAATGTCCGACTTATTAAGAGATCTGACTTATCAAAATATGCAATTTTACAAAAAAAAAATCACTATTCATTATCTAAATAAAAAATTACTAAATTAAATTATTTTTTATTTAAATCAATAATTGAGTTCAATGTCAATATTTTGATGTGGATGACAAAACATGAGTCTTGTTGTTTGGTATGGCTCTCATAAAGAAGAAGTGTTAATAACTAACCAATGGTACTTTTTTTTACTTGTATAGATATGTATTTTTTTAGTATTATAAATATTTTAATTAGAATCAAAATGCGGAATAGAACTTGGTAATTTATAAGTTTCTTATAAGATTCTCATCAAGATTTGCTTTTGCTTTTCGTAATTTTTATTAATATTAATATTATTATAATTAATTACAAGTTGTCAAGGCAGCATACTGTTGAAAAAGGAACATTTTGATATTGGATGTTTGATTATTGGAAATTAGCAGATGTTGAAGCATACACACTACCTTGAACACTTTACAGTCATTCTCACACATTTCTTGTGTACATAAGGCTAATCTGACTACTGTGTCCTGATGATACAATGATGTGGCTCTGAGATTTACCAAGACTGCATCAATTGTCAATGACACTTTCACTAATATTTTCTCACAGCACCCAGACTGGAGAAAGCTGCTGGCATGCTGGCTGAAAAGTTGCCTGCAATGATCCTACCTCTAGGGTAAGGATTGGTGTAAAATAGTGTTTGTTTAGTATAATTATTTTCCTAAATTCTCTGTTTCTTTAATACTAACCAATTTATAATTTTGGGTAGGGGATTGAATGGGTTATTTCCCCTGTCCTATAGATTAAAATTATCGCATGTTTATATATATCTTGTCAGCAACATGACCAACAAGAAAAAGTCATAAAATGGTTTTGATTTTGGTATGTTATGTTATAAATTAATCATTCCCATAAATTTTGTTTCTTTTGATTTTTATTTGACCAACTGAACTTGTTATTTAAATGGGGTAGAGTTGTTAGTGAGTAGACATGCCACTGACAAGACAGCAACCCAGGTCACAACCTTCCAAGTTGGAGAATTTTGAATCAGTTGCAGACACCAACTTTATTCTAGAGGGTGATAACACAAAGCAAACATCACACAAGCACCAGCTATCAGTTATCAATGCCCATATGGTAAACAACCAAGCCTGGCCTGAGAGAAGATAGGGAAAGTTTTGTCCAAAGCCTTCCAACATGTTCAGGGTGCTTTCACCCATTGGGGGCACTCCATGGTACTGAAAGGTACTTAATTGTGCAGACCAGCATGTTTGTGATAGGAAAATTTTAATTAAATCTGACACCTGCAATCAACACCAGATTTATCACTCATAGGGAACAATCAGGAAAAATAATTTATTTTGTGAATCCCAGAGATCTGGGTAGACACACATTATTAAAAGTTTTATTTTGCATGGCCTTGGTATTATTACTACTTGGGTGATGCAATTGTTTGTTATGTCAATCATAACATCAAATATATTGAATAATAATCATTATGAATATTTGATGGATGGAGGCATTCACATACAAGTAAGTGATTAAATAGCTAAGTCATGTTTGTTTTATTAAAGATATATAATTAATTATATTTAAAATATACAATCCCTATAAAAAATTTGGCATGGAAATGTATGGGAAAATGCATGGAATTTGTATGGAAAGATGCGAATTTCAGGTAAAATTCCATGCATTGTTGTACAGAAAAGTACAGGAAAATTTCTCTGAAAATGTATGGAAAATGCACGGAAGGTGCAATTTCCTTGCATTTTCCATGCATTTTCCAATTATTTTTTTGAATAGAAAATACAGAAAATACCTGGAAAATGTCCGGAATCTGCGTCTTCTGTACATTCTCCATACATTTTCAAGGGATTTTCCTGTACTTTTCTGTAAAATTCCATGCAGTTTTCCTGTAACAAACTTCGAAATAATATGTCGCACAAATGGCATTTAATTTTATTACCATATTTGGTAAGAGGAATTCATTTTTTTTTATCGTTTAATTTAAGTTACTTGGCAATCGGGATTTTTGGTGAAGAATTATACATATTATTATTATTATCATCATTATTATTTTTATTAAGAAAAGTGGATATTATATTGTTATGTTATATTGTGGGGATTATAATCATATTATTATTTTTATTAATATTATTTATAATTAAGAAGTTATCTTTAAATTATGATCAATACTTTCCGGGAAGTCTATAAGCTTCCATACAATATATAGATTATATATTTATTTATTTTCTTACGATTTATATTTTATTTTAAGAATTGTGTTTTTATTATTTAAAGATGTAAAATTCAAACAAATAAAGATAACTTTTATATCAGTTTATTAACAGTGTTAAATAATATCTAAACGTTTGTAAATAATTGTGATAATTATTTGAACGTTTACATTTCCACTAGTGTTGGTTTCCAAAACTTGAGAGTTTCGCAACTATGTGAAAGTCAAATGGTTTCGCCATAAGTCAAAACTAGTTTTGATTTTTGACTATTGACTTTTGATTTAGTTTTGACATATAACTTTTAATTTTAGTTTTGACTTTCACCTCTTCAAAATAGTTTTGGCAACCAACACTATTTTCCACACAGTTTTCCGTACATTTTCCCATACATTTCTGTGCCAATTTTTTATAGGGAATAAAAAAATTGCAAGACTGCACTTCACTTAAGTTTTTTCTAACATACATATTAATATTTTATTTATAGAAGGTATTTTGATTCGTATTTAAATCTTTTACCGAACACAACTTTATTTCTTTTCATTCCCCATTTATATTG